GGTGATGATCGTGATCGTCATGAGGGGGAGAAGAAGGCTGAGAAGAAAGTGCCAGAGCCAAAGAAGACTCCTGCCAGAGGCGTCAAGATTGTGGACTCTACAGCTGCCTTGTGCTCTAAAGGCAGGGAAAAGGCACAAGAGCCTAAAGGCAAAGGAAAAAAGCAAAGCTGTAGAGTCACCACAGAAGGGGTCGTCGTCTAGCACAGAGTCTCCACAGGCAATAAATGAAGAGGAATACAGAGATGACCCAACGCTCCTTGAAGCTTTAAAGGCATCCCTGGCAGAGGCTCAAGCAAGAAAGGGCAGAGGTCCCATCCCTCACAGAGCAGGAGAAGGCTCTTCACAATTCCCACAAGTCCAAGAAACATCCACGGGTACGTTTGACGCGCTGCAAGGAACCGTCAAACCCATCCTTTCAGAGGGGTCAATCCAGAGGCCAATTCTGAAAGAAGAGGAAGCCAAGGTCCCAGAGTCCGCCACGGTAGGAAGGGTGTCTGAACTATTCGAATCAATGAGCAAGATTCCAATGCCAAAAGTCCGAACAGAACCCGTTACTACTTTGGAAGAAATTCAAGTGTGGAGGTACTCTGCAGTAGACACAGAACCTCCCTATGATCCAGAGCTTACAGGGATCCCTTCTGCCGTCGCCAAGTTCCAGTTCTCTAAGCTCACAAGGCCTTGTGAGCAAGTCTTCTCAGAGCACATGATCACTTCCCTACAGACAATTTCTCAAAGGACTATGCTAAAGAAGAAGGTGCTCTATGCTCAGTATGTAGAAAGGAGGGAAGATGGAAACCTTTATACATTCACAGACGCTGACCTCCACAACCTCTGTGTGTTTGATGTCATCTACATGCACAAAATTCTCAACATCTACATGGAGAGGAGGTCAAACTACTCAATAGCTCAGAAGGTTGCTTAAGGTCATGCACGCACAAGTAAGATATTACAGCCAGAAGGACTTCGAGCTTACTAAGGTTAGTCCAAAGAGATCTAAAGATCTCCCCTCCATACAGCAGGCCTGGTTGGATACTTAGGTATCATCCAAACTCCATTATTCACAACCCCACTTTTGGGTTTGTGTATTTGGATAAGGATGAAATTCTAAGGTTCTATGATCCAATAGAATCACACAAGTACTCAACAGAGATGCTAGAATGGATATTTAGAAGAGCAGCGGCAGAAGTGGACAGAGGACATCTAAGGATGAGCGAAGTGTCTAACATGTTATACGCAGTAGACGACTTTCCAAAATCTGTAGTTTGATAAACCTTCTGTACCAGTTTTTGGCCTATGTTTCACAATTTTGTAATTTVTMWTAWTTCTTGTAATTCTTTTCAGAGGATGAACTTTTATCTCCTCTTGTAATTTCTTTCAATTAAGTCATTTCTTGCATTTAAATTTCCAATTTTACTTTTTCAT